ATATTGTTAAGCAAGCAAAGCAGGAAGGGTAATTGGATGTACGTGTCCATCTTGGGACAAATGATTTGGCTTGCAATGAGGTTTCTGAGGTAAAGGAAGGGTTTTGTGTTCTTGCCAATAATATACAGCAGGTTGCTTCCACACTGTCATTCTCTGAAGTTCTGCCTGTACATAACACTCAGAACGACAGGTGATTGCGTATTAGGGACTTTAACTTGTGGCTTGGTGAATGGTGTCAGGAGCAAGGATTTGGCTTTGTTTCTCACAGTAGCTCTATTTGAAATAGAAATGAACTGTACAAAAAAGATGGTTTGCATCTTTCTCAAAAGGGAACAAATGTTCTCAGCGAGCAGTTCAGAGGTTTTGCTAGGAAGTATTTAAACTAGGAGGGGGGGACAAAAGGGTGATAAAACATCAATCCAATTGCCCCCCAAAACAAAAACAGAAAGTAACTGTAAAAAGTGTGTTTAAAAATTATACGCTTAGAGTGATGTGTACAAATGCTTGCAGTTTAGGGAATAAGATCCATGAACTTGTGGCAATAATGGCAACTGAGAATGTAGATTTAGTCGCTGTTACTGAGACATGGTATAATGAGAAAAATGACTGGGACATAGCAATACCAGGGTACTCTTTATACAGAAAAGACAGAGAAGACAAGAAAGGGGGAGGTGTGGTCATGTATGTGAAGGATAGCATAAAATCTAGCCTAATAAAAGTTAGTGAGGCAAACATAGAATCTGTTTGGGTTACGTTAGAATTTGGTAATCACACAGTAACTCGTGTAGGTGTGATTTACAGGCCCCCAGGACAAATAGAAGAGTTAGATAATCCACTAGTTGAGGAAATAGCTAAAATGACAATGAAGGGGGAAGTTATCATCATGGGTGACTTTAATCTTCCTGATGTTAACTGTAAATCCAAAATAGCTGCTTGTGCCAGGAGCACACATATTCTAAACTCCATACTGGGATTGTCTCTAAAACAACTTGTTGAGGAACCAACTCGTAAGGAGACCATACTAGATTTAGTGTTTACAAATGGAGATTTGGTATCAGATATTACTGTAGGTGAAAGTTTAGGATCCAGCGATCACCAGTCAGTGTGGTTTAATATAAAAACAGTGACTGAGTCACACCAAACAAAAACAAAAGTTTTAGACTTTAGAAAAACAGACTTTTCTAAAATTAGAATATGCGTAAAGGAGTCCTTGTCAGACTGGAGCAGTTTAAATGGAGTCCAGGAGAAATAGGATTATTTAAAAGTTGCACTGCTGAAGGCAACAGAAAGTTGCACTGCTGAAGGCAACAGAAAATTGCATTAGGCTTGTCAGTAAAAGCAAAAAATTTAAAACCACTGTGGTACTCTGCAGATGTGGCCAAAATAGTAAAATACTAAAAGTTAGCATTTAGTAATTATAAAAAACCCCAGAGTGAGGAAGACAGATCTATAAGATTAGACAGCTAGAGGCAAAGCAAGTCATAAGAGCCTCCAAAGCACACACAGAAGAGAAAATAGAACAGTCAGTAAAAAAGGGTGAGAAGACATTTTGTAGATACATAAATGAGAAAAGGAAAGTAAAACACAGATTTTTTAGATTAAAAACAAAAGAAGGAATGTATGTAGAAGAGGATAACAGTCCAGCTGATTGCCTCAATTAATATTTTTATTCAGTATTTACAGATGAAAATTAAGGAAAAGGAAGCAAGGTAACGGAACGGACGCACTTCTTGGAGCTCCGACACTAACTCGTGCAATCTAGCATTACAGAGCGAAACCCGAGCCCAACAAAAACCCAAAAATCTACCCACGAAAGGAAAGGAGATCATGGGTAGGAAATCAAAGAAGGCAAAAGCCGAATAGAGTCCCCACGGGAGGGATATTGGAGATATGCTCCGGAGCACGCAGCAGGCTGCATGGGCCAAGATGACACTGACGGACGAGCTATCCTCATACTCCTCTGAGGATTTTGCCACGGAGCTCCTGGAGGGAGCGTCCTCCGGGCGCCCGCCGGACCGCAAAATTGATTCACAGACGGCCAGGGATCCTGTCACAGCGGATCAGCTCAAGAAAATGCTGGCAGAACTCCGCAAGGACCTGGCGGCGGATATGGCCTATTACAAAGAGGCTATTGAAGGGGCAGTAACAAAAATCACACGGCTGGAGGCCTGCACTGACACCCACGAGACTAGATTTACAACGGTAGGGCAGCAAATAGCAGATCTGGCAAAGCAGCAGACCATCATTACCGACAGACTGGACGCCCTGAAGGATCAGAGGAGACGCCACAACTTGAAAATAAAGGGGATCCCCGAGTCAGTTGACCTCGATGACCTTCCCCACTACATAAGGCGCTTCCTAGGAGCCCTGCTCCCACCAAAACAAATGAAGTCCTTGAGACTGGATGGGATGTTTAGACTACCAAAGCCACCACGAGCACCAACGAATGTGACACCAGACCTCATACTGCGCTTCTAAACCCTCTTATGACAAAACCGCACTGCTGACCGCACTGAGAGGGAAATACCCTTATGTCGTTTGAGGGAGCCGCACTAACAGTGTTCCAAGATCTCACCAAAAACACCTTAACCTGGCGGAAATCTCTACAGCCTCTACTACAACACCTACGGGCCAGAGAAACTCCCTACAGATGGGGTACACCTCGAGCCATAATGTTTACCCATAACGGGACTGTATACAAAGCGTAAGACTACCAAGATCTCGAACTACACCTGCAATCAACAGGCATTCTACAAACCGCTACAATACAGAAACAGGGACTATCCCAAATAAACCTGGCCGCAATCCGAGACTTCATCCCAAGGAACAACCCCAGAGCCTCACCTAGCAGCCTGCCTACCTGAGGAGACAGAGGAAGACCACCCGTGGAGACTCTCCAACGTACTACTCACACTTTTGAGTATACTACACAAGTTAGAGACTACGCCTAGATATGTTGCAAAATAGTTTTGCCCACACATACCTGATTGTATTACTACTTTGACTTTAATCCAACCCGCTTCTACTTTTGTAAACATACACCACGGGCTACTGGCACACCGGCAAGAGGAGACCGACAACCACAAAGTCATACCACATAGACACACATATGCACAATGCCATTCCCCCCCCGGCCAAATCTTGGGTGACCCCGTTAAGTACACTCATAAGGTTAGTAGGCTATCGCATACAGAATAGCGCACCAGTCTACTCATATCCACACGGGGCACAATAATTGCTTCCCACTACTGTTATACCTAATGTTATTTATAAAAATGTGTAATGTTCCATGATGCCACAATTGTACTTCCTGATTGATATCCATGCGAGCTACAACTGCTGTGGTGTTGCACTCACCTGTATCATTTCTTTGCACAAAAAAAATTAAGAATTAAATAAAAAAGTGACACATACGGATACATAGGGGCACACACTGATACACGTGCAGATAAACAGATACACAGTCAAGGAGATACACATGCAGACAAATAGAGACATATGCAGACACACATATACATACAGAAATAAATCGATATAGGCATTCTTAATTTCATGCAACAATTGTTGTGTCTCCATAGTTAGCAATATTTTACATGTTTGCAGTTCAGCATGTTTACTTATATATTACTTAACCTAGCATGTCTCCTAGCTATACAGCTCACTGATGTATGTTGGCACCTAGCCTGTCTCTTGATTATTAGCTAGATAGACCTGACTAGACATGCTCCTATCCTGTTATCTCTATTATATTATTAAATTGTGCTATAGCCTAGAAATGCCATGCAACGTTATATTTTACAATATTAGTATGTGCAGAATATGTAAACGACATGTATTTGCTCTCTTATGCATTCCATTGCACTTGTGAAAGCTATTGTGGCCTCGCAAGCTAAACTGTAATTTTTTTTTTTATGCACAGCAAAAAAAAAAAAAAAGAAAATGAAGGAAAGGGGCCTCAGTTAGGAAACAGGACAAATGAGTCATTTGTTACATGTGAGTTTACAAAAGAAGAGGTTCTATTTCAACCGTCAAAAGTAAAGACATAAGTCAATGAAGCCTGAGGCGATACACCCAAAGTTATTAAAATAACTTAGTGGTGTACTAGCAAAACCACTAACAGATTTATTTAATCAATCATTGTTAACAGGAGTAGTCCCAGAAGATTGGAAGTTAGCGAATGTTGTGCCCATTCACAAGAAAGGTAGTAGGGAGGAGTCTGGCAACTATAGGCCAGTAAGCCTTACTTCAGTAGTGGGGAAAGTAATGGGAACCATGTTAAAGGATAGAATTGTTGAACATCAAAAATCACATGGATTTCAAGATCAGAGACAACATGGGTTTATAGGGAGATCATGCCAAACTAATCGTATTGATTTTTTTTTTTTTTTTTTGATTGGGTAACTAAAATAATAGATCAGGGTGGTGCAGTAGACATTGCTTACCTAGATTTCAGTAAGGCTTTTGACACTGTTCCACATAGAAGGCTCATCAATAAACTGCAATCTTTAAGTTTGGGTTCCAATATTGTTGAATGCGTTAGGCAGTGGCTAAATGACAGGCAACAGAGGGTTGTAGTCAACAGAATATATTCAAAGCAAGGTCTAGTTACTAGACGGGTACCTCAGGGATCTGTACTTGGACCCATTCTCTTTAATATTTTTATTAGTGATATTGCAGAATGTCTTGATGGTAAGGTTTTTGCTGACGATACTAAAATTTGCAACAGGGTTGATGTTCCAGAAGGGATAAGCCAAATGGCAAATGATTTAGAAAAATGGTCAGAGCTGTGGCAACTGACATTTAATGTGGATAAGTGCAAGATAATGCACCTTGGACGTAAAAACCCAAGGGCAGAGTATAGGATATTTGATACCCTACTAACCTCAACATCTGAGGAAAGGGATTTAGGAGTAATTATTTCAGATGACTTAAAGGTAGGAAGACAATGTAATAGAGCAGCTGGAAATGCTAGCAGAATGCTTGGTTGTATAGGGAGAGGTATTAGCAGTAGAAAGAGGGAAGTGCTCATGCCATTATACAGAACACTGGTGAGACCTCACTTGGAGTATTGTACACAGTACTGGAGACCGTAACTTCAGAAGGATATTGATACTTTAGAGGGAGTTCAGAGAAGGGCTACTAAACTGGTTCATGGATTGCAGGATAAAACTTACAAGGACAGGTTAAAGGAACTTAGCATGCATAGCGTGGAGGAAAGACGAGACAGGGGGGATATGATAGAAACATTTAAATACATAAAGGGAATCAACAGAGTAAAAGAGGAGACTGTATTTAAAAAAAGGAGAACTACCACAACAAGAGGACATAGTCTTAAAATAAAGGGGCAAAGGTTTAAAAATAATTTCATGCATTGATGCATTGAATAGCCTTCCAGCTGAAGTGGTAGAGGTTAACACAGTGAGAGAGTTTAAGCATGCGTGGGATAGGCATAAGGCTATCCTAGACTTAAGATAAGGCCAGGGACTAATTAAAAGTATTTTTTAAATATTGGGCAGATTAGATGGGCAGAATGGTTCTTATCTGCCGTCACATTCTATGTTTTGGAAAGATACCAAGTTATATGTAACCGACTTCTGTACAGATGATTACATTAGAACAGCACTTGGCCTGCTTATAATGTTATGTAACTTTTTTTATTTTTTATTTTTATTTATTTTTTTATAGTGCAGCCTTATGCTAGAATACTTTAAATTAATTATTTTTTTCTTCAACCTATTCTCAATAGCCCATGACGAAAAAGCAAAACAATTGACACGTCAAGTATTCAATACTTTTTTGGGTAAGATTTGGAAAAGATGCGACAAGCTTTACACACCTAGATTTAGGCAGTTACATTCATCTCTGCAGATCCATTCAGGATCTGTCAGGTTGGAAGGGGACAGTGAATTGCCAGCCAAATCCAGATCTCTCCAGAGTAGGCCATTCAAGGACATTCACAGAGTTGTCCTTACACCACTCTTGCATTTTCTTGGCTATGTGCTTTGGGTCATTGTCCTGTTGGAAAGTGAGCTTCACCTAAGTCAGAGCACCTAAATGCTCTGGACTAGGTTTGTATTCATTATATCTATGCACAGGTAATGAGTGGTGCCTGGCTTGTTCAAAACATGACACTTAAGTGAGGCCAAACGGTTTAATTTTTATTTCATCAAACCAGAGAATCTTGTTTTTTTCAGAGTCACAGTATGCTTAAAGGATCACTATAGGATCAGGAACACAAACATGTATTCCTGACCCTATAGTGTTAAAACCACCATCTAGCCCCCCTGAGTCCCTCATGCCTCCATAAATATAGCAAAATCTTACTGTATTCAAGCCTGAAGCTGTAGCTCTGCATGCTGTTTGCCTCAAAAAAACAAGCAGTCTGCTGTCATCATCAGAAGTAGTAGCCTGATCCAATTACAATGCTTCCCCATAGGATTGGCTGAGAATGACAAGGAGGCAAATCAGGAGCAGAGCTAGCATGATTCAAACACAGCCCTGGCCAATCAGCATCTCCTAATCTCTATGAGGAAAGTTCAGTGTCTGCATGCAGAGGGAGGAGATACTGACTGTGTGGATGCATTTTAGGCAGCCATTACCCAGGAAGGATCTCTAACAGACATCTGAGGAGTGGCCAGTGAAGTTATCACTAGGCTGTAATGTAAACATTGCATTTTCTTTGAAAAGCCAGTATTTACAGCAAAAAGCCTGAAGGTAACAATTCTACTCACCAGAACAAATTCAATAAGCTGTAGTTGTTCTGGTGACTATAGTGTCCCTTTAAGGTGCTTTCATTTTGCAAATTCTAAGTAGACTTTCATGTGTCTTGCAACAAGGAGATGATTCTATCCAGCTAGCCTGCCACAAACATCAGATTGATGGAGTGTTGTAGTGATGATTGTCCCTCCCACATTTGATCTCTGGAGGGCACCCACAGTGACCATTGGCAATCAATTCTCAGTCACCTATTCTACCAAGGCCATTTGATTGCTCAGTTTGGCAGACTGGCTAGCTCTAGAAAGAGTCTTCACAGTTTATTCACTAAATTGCATTTGTGAATAAAAAAACAAACAAAAAAAACTAGCAGCCCCCGGACAAATAAATAGTTAAAAAAAAACCTCTACGTCTCAAGGGTTAATTATGTTGCAGCTAGTTCATAAATAAAAGTGCTGTGGGGATCAATAAGCCCAATATTGCTACAATGGAGGTGTTTTACTTCCACATGCCCCACCTGCCATCTTGCAGGTGGGGGCATGACTACAAAAAGTTTAAAACTAGTGACTGTCCCCATGGGCAAAGGGTGGAGGCTGCTATAAATATTCACAGAGAGTATCTAGTGTCACCCCATAGATTATGGGAGGGGGTTCAAATAATAAAATGGGGTGCTGTGATAATTGTGATAAAATCCAATTAATTAATTAAGAATGATTGATCACTAATGAGCAAATTAATCTATCATAGATAGTTAAGATGGCACTTGGCTTAAACTGTGTCGCACTAAGAAATTCAACCTGTGTCGCACTAAGAAATTGAACATTGCCTGGAATATTCCATAGCATGAGCCTTGGGTGGTCACGACTGGCCTGATCAACCATACTGATTACTTAATGCGCATGACAAGATACATGCTGGGCTGCACTGATAAGAAATCTTGGAAAAGTTACAAACTTGCTAAAAGGTAGAAACTTGGCACTCACTTGGAGAACTACCCACCTGTAATGCGGACGCGTGTTGCTGGTCTCTGCTGTTCCCAGAGAGGTTCCCTCCATGCCGACTGCCAGAGTTCCCCCAGTCACGTGCAGTGAGGACACAACAAAACCCCTCTAATAGTGATGTATACTTAAGCTGATATATCCGGATGCTAAGCTGTTTTGAAGTGAATGCATGCAACTGCTTAATGAGAATTAAGCTTACTCTGTATTGGGTCCCCTTGTGGACAATAAAGTGGTGTGAATTCTTATCTGCAACTTGGTCTCTATGTGGTCTCTTTTTCCTATAGCCCAAGACACTCATCTCGAACTGGGTTGTGTGCCCGCCAATATCGCTATAAACCTTACTAGGTAATTGATTATTACTTTTTGGATATTGGTGCTTCATGAATTTAATGATTAGGCACAACATTTTGGCGACGAGGATGGGATGTGTGTTAACTGAGCAAGGAAAATTGAAATCAATAATTTGAAATAGTTTTAAAAAGTTGTTAAGCATAGTTAAAACAAGGAAATTGTGTTTAGAATTCGTTAGAACTGTTTAAGTGAGATAAGAAAATTATGGTTAGAGATTGTTAGAACTGCCTAGACAAATTGTGTGCAAAGTAAAAGTGAAACTAACATTGTACAAGGTCTAATTTCTGCTGCGTCACAGAGGAAAAAAGCGGTTTGCAAGCTGTCAGTTTCTACCGTGCGCTGCAGCAAAGTATGCTATAGAGATTCTAAGCTTAGAAAACAAGCACTACGGTTTCTACAGGTTCTTTGAACATTGTGTAAACTTGAAAATGTTTGCATGACGTTGCAAGAGCAAGATTGGTGAGTGAATGTTCAATCTAGATTGAGGAGTGTTTGAGGAGTGCTTCTGAAGATTGATTGAAGAATACAAGTTGTGCTCAGTTGGTAGACGCCCCTATACACCTTAAAGGTGTGTAGAAAGCCAGTGCCTTCTGGGGAGCGTTACCCTCAAACAGGCTAGCGTCATGGATGAGGCTGAATTGCTGCTAATTTAATAAGCTCAATACCAGGTATTGAGATAAGGTCCCCAAAACCACAAGATTGTTTGGGGTGATTCTGACACGAATGAGTGATTGTGCTTGGTCAGTTAACAAGTGCCCCTACGCACCTTAACGGGTGCTGGAAGCCAGTGCTGACTGAGGAAGTGAAGGAAACGGCTGTTCCTGAAAGTGTGAGATTGTTGGCTCGATCATAGCTGTCCCTACACACTCCACGGAGTGTGTAGAGCGTCAGTGTGCTCGGGGAGCGCAAGCCCGCAGCCAGAATATAGTCATCTGGGCAGGCTTGAGTGAAAGCTTTTCCCTGAAGTAACCACAGGAACTTTGCACAATGGTTAAAAAGAATAAGAAACAGGGTGATGACGCCATCATTCCCGGATGGGAAGATGAGCCATATGCATTGATTGCCAGGGAATGGGCCCGTTCCGCTGGCAAATGCAATGATGAATGTGAAAAAAGTGAAATTGACATGCCAATTGACCTTCTAGCTTGCTTGTCAAAGATTCCAAAAGATAAGTGGCAGAAAAGAAGTTGGATTATACTTACTGCCTATGGACAGACACAAAAAGCTAGAGGTCAAATAAAAAGAGGAAAAGCCCCAGGGCAAATATGGCAGGTGGATTACATAGGTCCACTTCCTATGAGTAAAAATTGTCAATATGTATGCACGGCTGTGGATACATATTCAGGGTATTTATTGGTCCACCCTTGCAAGAGGGCTACCCAAATAAATACTATTAAAATCCTGGAAACCTTAATACAATACTATGGTCTTCCATTACAAATTCAGAGTGACAATGGAAGTCACTTTAAAGGAAAACTGGTACAAGACTTTTGTGATGAAAACAATATTGAATGGATATTTCATATACCCTACTATCCTCAAGCAGCTGGTCTGATTGAAAGAATGAATGGGTTATTGAAACAACAATTGAGAAAACTTGGTGAAGGGACCATGCACAAATGGAGAGATAACTTGCCTACAGCTGTAAACATGTTGAACAACAGGCAGGGCCGGCGCTACCTGTAAGGCGGACTAGGCAGCCGCCTAGGGCGCCCCTTGGGAAGGGGCGCCGCCAGGAGCGCCGGCCCCCCCATGCTGCAGCCGCACGAGCGCTCTGTAAAGAGCCTCAGGCGGCTGCAGCTTTGCCCGGGCGGTGCGTCCATGAGTGCGCACCGCCCGGGTGCAGCATGGGGAGAGGGGCTGACAGGAGGGAAGCGCCAGCTTCCTCCTGTCACTCCTTTCTGCCGAAGTTTCAGTCGGCGGTACAGGGAGCATTCGTCTCCTGTACTGGCCGACTAACAGGAAGTGCACACTGAGTGTGCATATCCTTGTTATCTGGCCGGGTACAGAAACAAAAGCTACCTGTACCACTCCTATACTGGGCCCGGCCACTACAACACAGGAAGGGGAGGA